TTTATGGCATTAAAGAATCTGCAAAGTTATCAGTTGCTGATAAGCATATCGACGATAAGGAAACGGTTCAGAATATCTTAGTTACTATTTCATCTGATGCAAAACCAAAATCTGTCAAACGTATTAAATCTACGTCCTCTAAACCAGGACCAATTATCGTCGAACTTTCTGATGTCTCCGAAAGAAACCCATTATTAACAGCAGCAAAAAAATTGAAAAATTCAGATAATTATAAAAATATTTTTATAAGCCCAGATTTGACTGAGGCTGAAAGATATTTAAACTATCAGTTAAGAATGAAGCGTAATGAATTAAATAGTAATATCAATTTAAAAACATCGCCCTTTAGATACGGTATACAAAGCAGCGGAGTCGTCAAACTCAAAAATATACAAACCACTACATAAACACTACTACCCTTCTTCCACTCTTTTACCAGCAAACTTAAAATACAAAAGTAAAAATCTTCATAACAAAAAAACAAACTATAGCGTTAATTGTTATTATACTAATGCTACATCTCTCGATAATAAAATGGCCGATTTAATTTCAATATCTAGAACGTTTGATTATCACGTTATTGCTATCTCTGAAGCATGGTTTCGAAATGACTCAGTACCTAATATCGATGGGTATAGCCTATATCGTAAAGATCGTCAAGACGGACGTTGAGGTGGCGGTGTAGCTATCTACATTACAGACGTATTTAACTCTCATGAAGTTAACCAATTTTATACAAATCTTCTCGAACAAGTCTGGGTATCTGTAAAATTTAACAACAAACATATACTTATTGGTTGTATATACAGACCAAATGATGCCAGTTTAATAAAATATGTCGCTGAATCCTTCAAATTAGCTCATAGTTTAATTAAAAAGCCCTATGATGACTGTTTGATTGTCGGTGACTTTAACTTCCCGAATATAAAGTGGTCTAACGATGGTATTGAATCTTTTAACCCAAACAATCCTACCGAGTATGATTTCTGGAATATTTTCCAAAACAGCCTTTTTACTCAACATATCACATTTCCTACTTTCCAGACTGATTATGGTTCCTCAAATAATATGTTGGACTTGTTATTTACCTACAACAGTAATTCTATTTTAAACTTGTCTCCTAGTACTATACTAGGTAACACCACTAAGGGTCATTTTAGTATCACTTGGAGATTCTTAGTTTCAGAACTGTTTACCGAAAGTGTATCTCAATCGTTTAATTACAAAAAAGGTGATTACGATTCAATATCTAACTTTATTGCATCAATCGACTGGGAGTTTTTATTCCTGCATAAAACTGCAGATCAAATGTTCAATATACTAATTTCTAACTATCGCACTGCTTGCACATATTTTATTCCCAAGATTAATAAAACAAAAAAAAAGTATGATCCTTGGGTTACCCCACATATTAAAAACCTGATCCGAGAAAAAAAATCCGCTTGGCATATAAACTGCTCTACCAAATGGGAGAATAGTGAGCTTAAAATAAAATACAATCGCCTTAATCGTTCAGTAAAAACTGAAATATTTAAAGCAAAAAAAGCACATGAAAAAGAAATAATATCAAAATCCCAAAACAACCCAAAAATCGTTTACAAATATATCAACAAACAACTAAAAATTAAAGATAGAATTCGCTCTCTCAAAGATACTTCAGGCAGAATTATTGAAGCTCTTCCTGATATAGTTGATCTTCTGAACTCTCAATTTAAATCTATGTTTACACTTGAAAGCTCTGAAAATTTTCCTTTGCTAAATAAAAGTGGTATTCTTTCTGAATGCATTTATAATGAAAACTTGGATTTCTCTATCTCAGATATTATTCAGGAACTTGCCGATCTAAAGCCTTATAAATCCTTCGGACCTGACGGCTTGCATCCCTTAATACTCAAGATATGTGCCAAAAGCTTTGCAATTCCATTAACAAAAATCTTTCATAAATCCTTTAATTCTGGAGTAGTACCCACTCAATGGAAATTAGCAAATATTAGTCCGATCTATAAAAAAAAGGGAGATAAATTACTTGCTGAAAACTATAGACCTATTTCACTAACATCTGTTGCCTGTAAAATCTTTGAAAAACTTGTAAAGAAAAAAATTTTAAAGCACATTAACGATAATAAAATGCTCTCTGCAAATCAACATGGCTTCCTTTATCATAAATCATGCGTAACTAACCTAATAGAAACTTTTGATATCATTTCGTCCTCCATAGCATCTCACCAATTTATTGATGTAATCTATCTTGACTTTGCCAAAGCGTTTGACTCTGTACCTCACAACAGACTTTTGTTAAAATTAAGATCTTTCGGAATAAACGGCAAACTCCTACAATGGATTAAATCTTTTTTAGTGGGCAGAAAGCAACGCGTTACAATTAACAATACCAGCTCTGCATGGGTTGATGTTCTCAGTGGTGTTCCTCAAGGTTCTGTTCTCGGCCCGCTCCTCTTCATTCTCTACACAAATGATCTCGCAAAACTCACTGAAACTTCTGAGATATTTCCCGATGATACTAAACTTTTTTCTAAAACCTTATCGCAATCTAATTTTGTTGATCTGCAGGATCGTCTACGCTTGGTATACGAGTGGTCAAACACTTGGTTACTTAAGCTAAACACTTCAAAATGCTGCGTCATTCATTACGGTCGAAACAACCCCCATTACAATTACTTTCTTCAAAATAACCAAGGAATCAACCAATCTCTAAGAAGCTCTACTAAAGAACGTGATTTAGGAGTCATTTTTACATCTAACCTCAAGTGGAGCGCTCATATTCAAACAGTTGTCTCTAAGTCCCTACAAATTCTCGGTATGCTGAAAAAGACTTTCACTTTCATTGATGAAAAAATGGCTCTCAAATTATATAAAGTATTTATAAGACCACATCTTGAATATGGAGTGTCCATTTGGGCTCCTTTTTTAAAAGCTGATATGGCTTTGGTTGAATCTGTTCAACGCAAAGCTACAAAATGGGCTTACAGCTTGAGGCATCTTCAATACTGCGAAAGGCTAAAAAGATTAAACCTACCATCTCTTGAGTTTCGACGCCTTCGATGCGATTTAATCCAAATTTTTAAATTAATACATCGTTTTGATATAGTTAATGATAAATATCTACCAAAATATATTAACTCCGTGTCTCGTGGTCACCATTCTAAAATAAGGCGTGAGTATGTTCTAAACTGTCTTCCAAGATATAGTCATTTGTATAATAGATCAGCAAAATACTGGAACAATCTACCAGAGCAAATAACTTTGTACTCCACTGTACTTTCTTTCAAAAATAGACTAGACTCCTGGTTGTGGAAAAAGTTTGGAACAAATATTTATAAAACTGGTTGTTTATAGTGGGGTGTTTCCCCTGCTCGCTGTATGTGTACATTCTATGTAAATTTACGGCTACAACTATAATAATAATAATAATATTTCACTTTTTACCTAAACTCAAAAGTTTCAATTTTTTACGGCTTAATTAAAAAGCCGTAAGAAAATTCGTTTCTATGGAAATAAATATAACCGATTCCAAGAAAAAGAAAATACCTCGTCAAAAAATTTTAAAACTTATTCAAAAAATACCCAACTTAATAATTTTTTTTTAAAGGATCGTATACTTAGTATAAAATAGTATTGTAGTATATCAGTATTATATGAAAGATAGTTAAAAAAAAATTGATTCAAACTCTCTGGTGGTATAGATTAAATCGCGAAAAAAATACGTCTTAAAAACGGTAAAAAAAAAATGAACGCAAATGTATGCATGCATTTAAAATATAAATTTTATGTTTTAAATGAATACATGCGTTTATTTTTTTATTATGAAATCTTTTTTAAAATGTATTTTTTTACTTTTATGATAAAAGTAAACAATAAAATTTAAAATTATATAAATCTTTTAACAAAAACCCTGTAAATACCAAAAACATCTATCGATGTTCTTAACTTATGAATGAAGTGCTTAAGACTTCATTGTAATTAATACTTTCGAAGTTGTTAAACTAAGATAAAACTTTTCCCTTTTTTTTTTTATTTAGACTACATTTACCAAAAAAAATAATTTTTTCTATTTTTAACTTTTCTTCTTGGATCCTTGAATGTTTTAAATAACAAGTACACTTTAATTTTCAATATAAAACCCACTTATTTCTCTAAAGGCTGGAAAAATATTCTAAAATTATCTTTTGAATATATTCTGAAAGTTTGCATGGTTATCTAAGTATTAGGTTTCATCTAGAATCTGGAAAATTAATTTTTCGTAATTCAGAAAACAAAAAAGTTAAATATTTCTTAACTAACTTATCAAAGTTAGTTAAGAAATATCTAACTGATCTCTGACTATCCAACTAAAACTTCTCTTCCAAGGAATATTCTTTTATTAGTATTTTATATATTATATTAAGATAATATTTTTTTTGAATTTTATTATAATAATATTTTATTGAAATCATATTTGATTTTAATGTTGTTATCTAGAATGGTACACTTTACACCATAAATAACATGCTATACAAAAATATATAAGGTTTTTATGTAACAATTTTCAACATGTTTACGGCAGAAAACTAATACTTTAGAACATGTGAAATATGAATAATCCATGTACAATAAATAAACAGTGTTGTACTTTCTCCTAATTGTTTAGTTTTGCCAGCAAGAAAAAAAATCAGTTTCAAGAAACTGATTTTTTTTTTTGAAACTGATTTTTGTTTCTCATATATATATATATATATATATATATATATATATATATATATATATATATATATATATATATATATATATATATATATATATATATATATATATATATATATATATATATATATATATATATATATATATATATATATATATATATATATATATATATATATATATACTATATATATATATATATATATATATATATATATATATATATATATATATATATATATATATATATATATATATATATATATATATATATATATATATATTTAATTAGTTTATTGCAGATTTTCAAAATGGGGCTTAAATTACTACTACTTTGAATCTCAGCATAAAAGATTGTATTGGACAGTCAATTTATTAGATGAATTATCAACTCAAAGTGAACCTTCAGACGCTGCATTTGAAATAGTTAATGGACAATTATATATTACAAGAAATCTAACTTCAAATATAAAACATTGTGCGAAATGGAATGAAAATTATTATTTTAAATTTTTAAAAGTTGGTAAGTTGAGCATTTTATTATATACTTTATTTTTGTATGGCACATAAATTGTAACATAGTAAAACACACATACACCACAAATTGTATGGTATATTTGTGATATACTAATTATTTGACAAATGAGATGTTATCTTTTAAATAAGAAAAAAAATACTTCTGCTTATTTGGTCTTTAGCACTGTTTCCTCAATTTTTAGTTTTCTAAACTAAACATTATTGGATTTGAGCTTAATAAAAGTTAAAACTATATTTTATTTTTGACTTAATGGCTTTTAACTTGGAGATTGACATTCTCTAAAAACTGTTAAATAAGCAGAAAACAATTTTATTTTCAAATATTATGCCTGCAGGACACCAAAATAACTTTTTGTTAAAGTGTTCTTCAATAAATTTTTTAGAAGCAATTATCCAAACTTGTATAAAATATCATTGTCACAAGTTTTTTCTTGTTTTGTTACAAGTTTTTTTCATAGTTAGCCAAAAAACACAGTTTAAAGTAATTTTATAATTGAGTACTTTCTGTTTAACATGTAACTAGATAAATTTAAAAGTATAAATAAAGTAAACACATATGTATGTATGTATGTATGTATGTATGTATGTATGTATGTATGTATGTATGTATGTATGTATGTATGTATGTATGTATGTATGTATGTATGTATGTATGTATGTATGTATGTATGTATGTATGTATGTATTGTTAAGAAGCGTTTCCCTATTTGAATTTTATGTACGTATTCACAATTTCATGTACGCGTTACGCAATTTACATTGCGCAAAAACTTTTTTCAATAAGTTTATTTTAAACAGTCTTAAACAGATTCTGCGGAAAAAATTAAACTGTAATTAATTGTTGTAAAAAACATTTTTGGAATATTTTTTTTATTAGATAAAATAGATAGATATCCTTTTTTCTATTTTCCATTTAAAAAAAAATTATATTTTTAACTTATTTTATTAAGTTTAAATTAATTTTATTATTAATCATAGTTTTATCAATTTATTTGATTGAATTTAATTAAAATTCTTTTAAAAATTTCAATTGCTCCGTTTTACAATTTTTTTTACTGATATTTCGAAATTTATGTTAAAGTAAAAAAAAAAATTAATAAATTTAATTCAATTTACTTTAAAATGTTCGCATTACATATAACTTCATTTTAATTTCAGTAAAGTTTCAGGTACATACTGGTCTGAATAACGCGCTTCTGTAGTTAATAAATGACTTTAATACAAAAAGTTCTTTCCAACTTGAGTTTAAAAGTTGTTTGGGTTTTCCCTTTGTCGTTAAATTTTATGTCGAAGAATTTTTTTAATAAAATGAACCAAACTTTAAAGCGATTAAATCCGGCTCCTAAGAAATATCTGGTTCCAGCTCGGCTCCGGCTCGGCTCCCGGCTTGGCTCCAGCTTCCAAACTTTATGAACAAAAATCGCAAGTTTTGGAATATTTTTTTTGATCACATTTGCTAACCCACAACTATACCAATTATAGCAATTAACTTTTTACCAACTCTCATGATTATAAGGTTATTATATTACTATCACTACTCTACTACCAAATATTATATTTGAAAAGAATAATGATTTGGGTAAATAAACACTTTTTTTGATATATTATTTAACCATGCCCACTTAGTATCTAGTGGCACGGGACCTAAAAAAGACGTATTTTGAACGTTCAAAAGATGTTCAAAATGCTCCAAAGACATTTAAAAGACCTCTTTTGTATGTCACGTGCCCACTGGGTAAAACATGCAATCGTTAAATTCAAAACAATAAAAAAATTCAAAAAAATGAAAAATAGTTCAACTAATGCAAAAACTTCAATATTTATTTTAATCTAAGGAATTTGAAGATTATAAAAGTGCTTTTTATTTTAATATTTTTCTTTATTTTAAAGAAATAAGCAAACATTTATGCTAATTGATGACATTAACTTTTGCACAGTGTCTTTGACGATTTTTTTTTCCTACTAATGTCTACTCTCTAATCAAATCTTTAGCTGTATTTATTGTTTTGCCAGTCTTACGAAAATATCCTTTGCCAAATCCCCCAAATTTTTCAATGGGATGAAACTGAGCGAATATTGATAGATTCAGCTTTTTGTTATGAGTTTGATTTCTCTCGAACTGTACCACTCTTCTTAGAATAATGACAAGAAGCAAGATTAGGCCAGAATCAACAGGGGACATCATGACTTCGATAAAATTGCCAAAGTCTAGCTTGCAAGTATTCTTTGATGTAAATATCTGAGTTTAAAGTTGAAGATGTGAGAAAAGCTCGAGATCTCAAACCACAGCTGCATATTGCTTGCCAAAATTTAATCTTTAAAAAACTCTGAAACTTTTTACTTTTTGGGTTGTTCTCTGTTTGATAAGCCTGGATTTTACATAAATGATCGTTGAATACTAATTGCTGCTTTCTTATCCTTAAAGCTTCTTTTTCTTCCAGATTTATTTTCTCGTTCGATAGATAGCTCTTGTATTTTTTATGACCATATAAACAGTAGTTTTGCTAGATTCCGATCCTTTAGTGATTGAAAGTAACAATGCAGAAGGGCATTTCCAAAAAATCACGCACGGAAACTCGTATATGTTTTTACTTTTATTTTCATAAAAATAAAACTAGCGATCTCCAATTTACTCTCATTTAATTCTAATTAATATAAATATTTTTTAAACATAAAATAGTAAGCATTAGTAATGTTATCAAAGAATAAATAAAGTTTGAAATGGAATCACGCACGGAACAGAAAAACTTCTATTTTAGTTTCTAGATAAATAAACTTTAATTCCTCGGACAATATAAGTTTCACCTGTATACTTTTTTTTTAAAATAATATTTTAAACATTAGTAAAGATTTCCAGAAAGTTACAGGATTGCACTATGAATCATAGAGTCACAGCAATCGTTTAAGTGCAGTTTATGAATGATCACGCACGGAAGTCACGCACGGATGTTGCAAATTTGTCAATTTCATGTAGTTATTTTTATGAAAATAAATTGCTTGTGAGTATTTCAAGTGAAGTATTATACTTCTGCGACTCATAGTTAATATATTTTCGATGAGAAACCGCAGAAAATTATAGTATATTTTTCAAAATGTAGCAATATTATTACTCAAAAAAATAAAATTATAAAAATTTGTATATTTAATTTGTTCAGATAGCCTAAAATATGATAAAAATATTTTTGTTATAATTGTTCTTTAAGAAAATCAAAATAGTATGCATATTGCATAAAGTCCCAGCGTTTAATTGCTAAAACAAAGAAAAATAAAAAACCATGCACAGAAATGGAAATGCTCAGAAGAATTTTGTAGATAGCTCTGCAAAAAATTTTTTGTTTTTCTTAATGTTTCAATGACATTTTAATTAAGAGAAATATTTTGACTCATTTGTTGATGTTTTTAATTAATACTGTAGTTACTTAATATAATTATGTGGAAAAAAAAATTTAGCATGTGTTAGTGACAAGTTTTAAAACAAAGTTCATCTGTCCCAATAACTGTAACTGTTAGAAAAATATTTAAAAAAAATAGAAACTCAATAAATAATTCATTCAACAAATCAGTTAAATAATAAATGAACAAATTTGTCTACAGTAAAAAAAAAACATACATTTTATTCATTTAAAAAAACAAACATGAGAGCCGAGAGCTGCTCGATTTTTGCGACTTCGGCTCCAGCTCCACCGAAAAAACAGTATGTATGTATGTATGTATGTATGTATGTATGTATGTATGTATACATATTTATATATACATCCTTTTTTTAATTTATGTTGTATATTATCCTATTTGTTATTGTTAATAAGATATCCAAAACAATCAGTGCAGCTCCATTGGAGGGGTATTACCAAATGGTGTTTGTTTTGATAAGTACTCATCTTTAATTATTCAAAGCAGGTTATGCGAAAGTATAGGCTACAAGTTATTTTCATGTAAGTTTTATTTTTTTTGTTAAATTATTATTTATTTTTTTACAATAATATAACTTAGTGATGTATTAATTTATTTAGTTTATTTTTTTGCAATAATATAACTTAGTGATGTATTAACTTATTTAGTTTATTTTTTTGCAATAATATAACTTAGTGATGTATTAACTTATTTAGTTTAGTTTTGATTAATCAGCTGATGTTGGTTAATCAAATAATTTGTATCAAGAAAAATGCTTATTAATAAAAAAAAAGTATCAAGAAAAACAACATCAACTTTTTTAGTATATGATTTATCAATTTTTTAATATTTTTTTATATTGTTTTTTAAGTGGTTTAAAATTTTTTTAATTTAAATGAATTATAATTTTAATAATATTACAGTTATTATAATTTGAAATGTTTTCTACTTTTTGATTTTTGGTAAATGATTTTGATATGAATTACACAGGCCAACAAATTTTTTTTTTTCTTTGCCAAGCAAACAATTAGTTTTTTTTAAAAGTATTTTTAATTTTGATTTCAAATATGCAACTCATTTTTCACCATCAGGTCAAGTTGTAAAGATATTTGAGTTCAAATCTTTAGTATTTGGGGTAAAGTTCCTAATATTGTCGAAAAATAAGTTATTTAAAAGTATGTCAAACTGGGTCTCAAATGAAGCATATTTTCATAGAGATTTCAAAAATGTTATTCGTTTGTAATAAAAATAAGTATTTTTTGTATTATTGCTGAAAAACATTTTGTAAAAATTTTTTTTCTTAAAAAAATTAAGTCTTAAGCATTTTTTACAAAATTTTTTGGTCAATGAGTTTTAAGAAAAAATATTTATGTTTACTAAAATCTCTATGAAAATACGCTTCTTTTGAGACCCAGGTTGACATACTTTTGAATAACTTTTTTTTTTGACATTATTAGGGACTTAACCCCAGATACTAAAGATTTGAACCCAAATATCTTTACAACTTGACATAATGGTGAAAAATGAGTTGCATTTTTGAAATCAAAATGAGAAATACTATAAAAAAAACGAATTGTTTGCTCGGCAAAAAAAAAAAAAATTTTTTTTTTGCCTGATATATAAAGTATAAAAACATTTATTAAAGTTTCATAAACATATTTAGCAAACTAACAAGGTTTTTACTTGTTTCTTAACCTGAAAAGTTTTATATATTTTTTTTAGTTTTTATTTTTATTTTGGGTCTTTACACAGAATTAATATTTTGAACATAATTAAGTGTGCCATTTTGAACATAATAAAGTAGTGCCATACCCAACATTAGTTTTTGAGATACTGATACCCAACATTACTGTTTATGCAAGTTATTATTTCTCTTTCCTTAATGTTGGAATTTATGACCTCAATTTTATGAAAATTTTAGTTTAAGCACATTAGTTTGGGAACCCTCTTATCAAATTATATTGGATTACATCTGAGTACATACTGGTAATACAGCACTGGTACATTATATTACAGCACTGTTACAGCACTGGTAATATTATATTATAGTTGGTTTTTAATTTATTGAAACTTCAATTCATATTGCACAGTTTTAGTTTTTTACATTTAGAAATGATTAATAAAAAATGTAATAAAATGTTTAATAAATCTTGAAATAATATTTCAGAATTCTTTTAATAAGTTTTTGTGATCAGATCATGGAGTAAAGTAAAAGATATAAAATAACTCTGAGTAAGATATGAAGTCATGATATGAAGTATTACTGGATTGTGTGAACAACTTGTCACAAGAATCTCTGATCAATTGGGGCTTAATGATAAGACTAAATTTGTCTTCTTCTAGCCCCGGTCATGTAATTATTTTTTTTTATAAGTTACGACTGTAAATTTTTTTTTATCGGCAAAAGTGTAAATAAATAAAAAAAAAAAAGATCAAGATAGATAAAAGAATTAAATAAATTGAAGCATACAACTGACATAGAGGCCTAAAAAAAATTACTTTTAATCAAGAAATAGAAATAAATATATACAAGTTATACTAAAATTATTCATCTTTTTAATATAAATCTCTCTGCTCGATTCATAATAATATACACAGGTTTTAATTTTGGTTAGACCTAAAACTTTTTGCCACCACATTCTTTTCACACTTAACTTGTTTCTTTAAGCAGTGGCCTTGCAATGTTTATGTTTTGGAGTTGTGAAAAGGTTGTAACCACAGTAATTAAAAAAAGCTTAGTTTACTGTAGAAATCTTGTTAGTTTTGGGAAGCTGAATAATATATTCAAAACAAAACAACTACATTAACAATACTTTTTTGGACTTTTTCTAAAAGAGAAAGGTCATTATTAGAAGAACTATGACAACAGTATTTTAACACTTATTTCTTCTCATTGGATTCAAGTTTTATTCCAACCCGTAATTTTCTTTTTCTTGTGCAGTTGCTATCACTACTAATAATCTTCTTCTTTTTTTCTTTTTTTTTCATCCTTTCTAAAGAACAATTATCCAGAAACCAAATGTCTAATGTGGAATGTTAGACTTACCTTTTTTTACCCCTTCATGGGAGTTTTATTACCTCTTCTACAAAGGATTAGGCAGAACTATTTGCAAAGAATTTTTCCTCTAAATCATTTCTTGAATTTACTGACTACACTCTTCCCACTCTGTCATCTCAGAGAAACAGGTTAATATGTTATTACTTATATGAATCACTCTTTTGTTGCTAAATCTTGCAGATCCAGTTAAAGTTAAGTAGTGGACTAATATAGGTAAAACTTCATCCTCAGGGTCACAATATATTCACCAATGATGTTTCCGAGAGCCTGATAAAAAGTGATTAGCATCGCCTGCCAGGGATACATCTTTGCAATCTTTATCATGGTCTGTAGCCCACATTGGATCAGTCATTATTGCAATAATTTGGACCTCACAACAGAATAACCAAACACTCACACCCCTCCCAAAATTAAACAACACCAATAATTTTTAGAAAAAAGTGTGGATATAAAGACAAATATACACAAAAAACATACCTAATAAATATAATAAATATAAACATATGTATAGTATAAACATGTATACATTAAAATGTAAAGGTCATATAATACAATATTATTCACTATATAATAAAAGAAAGGAAACAAAAAGATAGATATATCTTACCATAGTCAATAAGTGGAATTTTAAAGGTGTACAACTTGTTGTGGTATCTAACATGTGTGTTAAAAATATTTAAAAGTGGACTATTTGTGGAAGCTAACAGACACTGAAAACAAAACCGCTGTCAAGAAAAATAGTAATTCTTAATTAAAGACATTAAAGTGCTAACAATAACAAAGTAACTTGGCGACATTAAACAAAATGAAAGTCCTAGCAATTCTATTGGCTAAAACCACACTCCAAGGAATTGTATAGTTTAACTGCTGTTTATAAAGCTCTAATCCTAATGAAATAACCAGATAATTCAATTACGGTGTAGGGTAAAGGTTGTTATTATTAGTAATATAGAGTTAAGCCTATGAAACTGTCCTTAGGTTATTGCATTATAGGGTAAAATCTATCAAGGGTAATAACATAATATTAGTAATTTATTTAAACATCAAATAACCAAAAATATGAATAAATCGTTTTAACTTCATATATATATATATATATATATATATATATATATATATATATATATATATATATATATATATATATATATATATATATATATATATATATATATATATATATATATATATATATATATATATATATATATATACATATATATATATTACTTTTACATTACTTTTTACATAATTTGAATAACTAATAGTTACTGTAATTAAACTAATAAAAATTGTAAAACTAATAAATAACTGTTAAAATTTTAATTCTTAGAAAAATTAAGCTTCATAGAACTTTAATAAAAGAATTTTATATAACTATTTAATAACTTTTATTTGAATTTCAAATTATCCAATGAGCAACTGTTAGATAACAAAATTAACTTTTTTGAAGCATACTTGCACTACTTGAGAAAAATTGTTTGAGTGATCCAAGTTAATGATTTTCATGATGTGTACAGTTTTTCTAAGTCCACTAAAAACTCTTCTGATTGTGCAGTATCTTGATAACATCCTAAAGAACAACATTAATGACCCCTTTATAAATTTATCAAATAAAAAAAGAAATTATACCCTTTATATGTCTGATTTTTAAAGTCTTTTGATATGGAAATTTTTTTACAAATATCCAACATAAGTTAAAGACTATAAAATATACCAAGAAACTGACTTGGAAAATATTCAGTAAATTTCCTTTTCACATTAACTGTTCGTTTTTCACATTAACTACTCATTTTTCACATTAACTGTTCATTTTTCACATTAACTGTTCATTTTTCACATTAACTGTTCATTTTTCACATTAACTGTTCATTTTTCACATTAACTGTTCATTTTTCACATTAACTGTTCATTTTTAGATGTTTTAAACTAAAATCTTTTTTGCTCAAACCCCGTGTGGTCTATATTTAGTTCAATGTTATCTACATTTGGTACAGTGTAGTCAAGTTTTCTACTTTTACTTCAAATTGTCTACTAGTTTTTTATTTCAATTATTTTTTTTATTTCTATTTTTATATTTCTTTCATTTTGTGTTTAGCCCCAGTACTTACTGTTAAAATGAAACCTAAAAACCATTCAGAGTATAGAATTTTAGGAAAGGAATCTGTTTCTACTACACCGATTGTTACGACTTCAATCTTTAAAATGGAAACCAAGGAAACAAATGATTCATTGGAAACAAGTGATAACTACGGTATAAATTTGTTTTGCACTGCACAATTTTAAATCTGAATTTTTCATTGAATAATTTTTTAGTTATTCAATGGCTACTTTGTTCATCTGCTGCCTTGTTTATCAGAACTCTAAAAAAACAAGGCCAGCGAATGAACTATTAGAGGTCAGCATTAAGTTTGCTAAAAAAAATTCACACAAAGCTTTTACCATAAAACATAGAAATGAAGTTGACAACTTTTTGCTGGCCTCAAACACTGTTAGGTCAACAGTTAGGTCTGCTAAATGTTGAGACTAATTCCAAGGGCTGGGATGTTTAGAATTTAAATACTCTAGACAAATAGTACTATCAGTTTTTGATTAAAATAGTGCAAAAATATCATCTACATATCTTTTATAAAATAAATGTTTTATTCCCATTAAATTCATTTAAATAATTACTTTTTAAGTTCCCCATGAATAAATTGACTATAGCAGGAGCAAAACAAAAAAATGAGAAATACAAGTTGCAAGCCTAAATAGTTTTTTCAAATTTGTTTTAGAAATTTTATGTTACGTATTTTTATTTAATATTTTAAAAACTACTAATGGTCTTTTCCAATGGAATATTATTGAATAAACTTTCATCATGAAAAGAAATAAGGTAATTATTACTGAAATTTTGTAATTTTAATACTTCAAGAAAAGTAAAGGGATCTTTTTGTGAATACTTTAGATCAATCCTTTTTGACTAAAGTACTAAAATATTTAGCTAGCTTTTAATTATAGACATTAACTGAAGAAATAGGTCTGAGGTTAAATTTTCATTTTTTTAAACTCTTGTAATAGATTTTATTTTAGATTTTATACAAATATTTAAATTGCACTTAAAAAATCGTTTGGCAATGGTAATATAAAAAAATTTGGCAATCAGCAAAATTGTTAATGCACCTGTAAAAGCACTATCTGTTAATGATCTGTTACATAAATCACAGATCATTTCCAAATCTTTCCCATCATCTAAAAGTTGCATCTTTCTTTTTTTAAAATATTACCATGGTTGCTACTCAAAGGAGTTCCATTTACTAAAACTCATTCTCGCTTGACTTGTCATTCATCAGAGTCTCATTCTTTTACTGTATCTGTCCCTACATGCTCCAAAAATTTTTATTCGTCTAGTTTTTTTGCCCACACTTCAACCCTTTGGAACTCTCTCCCATATTCATGTTTTCCTAACTCATACAACCTTCAATTTTTTCCCTGCTCTATAACTCTATTTTTTTTTTCTAGTAACTCCCAGCTTAATAGTGGCTACTTGTAGCCTTGTTGGGATTGAATCAGAATAGTAAGAAGAAAAAAAAAGATTTGTTATGTAGATAGCATTTTTGCTCCTTTCCCCCAAGAAAACCATGCATTTTTACTCATAGATTATATCAACTAAAAACATTTTTCTTTTATATCTTTTACCATGGAAAAGAAAGAAAAATAAAAAATATCTATTTAGGACAGAACTATATGAAAATCAAACAGTTCAAAATTACAAAGTTTTTCAAAAAAAACCTTTACCGGATTATACACCAACTTTTACAACTTTTACTTCATTTTCATATGAAATAAGTCTAATAAAATGTTTAATAGAACTTTCAAAATCAACAATACTATTCTTGGTCTTTGTTATGATATTAACAATCTTTTTAAAATTTTTAAATGTAATATGTACCCATCTTGGATAATAGGAAAAAATCACAACTCTTACTTAAATAAAGGTAATTATGATGTTCCCTTACTGTCTGAAGACCTAACAAACTCTATATTTTTTAAACTCCTTTATATTGGTAAAATATCTAAGCTAACAAAGCAAAGATTACATTATTAAAAGACATTGTAAGTTATCGGTTGTAAGTCGGTTATCCTAAGATTAGTCTTCACTTCACTAAAACTAATGTTTTTTTTATCTAAAAATCACCTTCCAATAGATTTTAAATTATTTGTTGTTAATAAATTGGTTTGTGCAGAATGTAAATTCTGTTGTATTGGCAAAACTACTAGTCACTTAAAGACAAGAATGATTTGACATTACAGAAAAACTCTTATTTATAAGCATCTTCACTCAAAAGAAAAATGATTTACTAATTATAGTGATGAATGTTATTAGCTCAATCTAAAGTCAAAACTTTAGATTGTGCTAATAACAAAATTGAATTAGAAATTAAAGAAAGTATTCATATAGGATGGGAAAAACCTGGTATGAATACAAGTAAACCATGTTAAGATGAATTTTAATGCTAGCTCTTTAGAGCAGTGCCCATTATAGTATATGTATATATATATATATATATATATATATATATATATATATATATATATATATATATATATATATATATATATATATATATATATATATATATATATATATTGTTGTTTTATTGTACCAAATTAAGATACAAAAATCTCTTGTTCGTTTGAGAGTGATCAATATAATGTAAGTGTTTACAAAATAGATCAATAATAATAATAATAGAGTTTGATTATTTGAAAAAATACAACTTTTTGATGGTACTTGAAGTTTCATGCCCTTCGGCAATCATCAGCCATATTTTATTCTTTTAAAACATATAATAAAGTCTCTAAAAGTTCTGTTAATTTTTGTATTTTGTATTTTTTAACGGTTTTTCTTGTTTTAAAAGAATAAAATATGGCTGATGATTGCCGAAGGGCATGAAACTTCAAGTACCATCAAAAAGTTGTATTTTTTCAAATAATCAAACTCTATTATTATTATATATATATATATATATATATATATATATATATATATATATATATATATATATATATATATATATATATATATATATATATATATATATAGTATATGTAGTATATGTAGAAAAGAGCAAGAGAAGCAACATTAGGTCTAAAGAAATTTTTTGAAATAACTTTTCTCAGATGATCAATCATAGAGAGTGCAGAACAAAAACACAAAGTCAAGATAAATCTCAAGGAATTCATTAGTTTTTCTCATGACTTGTGCATCATAGAAGTGTTATGTTTCTCTAAAGATGACTTATGATGTTGAATAGTTACATAACAAAGTGTGCAGATCACAGACTCAGTTCCATCAGATCTTTTCTTGAGTCATTTACTGCTAAACTTTTGTTACTGATACCATCCTTTTGCTTTTTCTAATTCATTCTACTAGGAAAACTTACTTCTGCAAAAATTCAATTTACCAATGAAGAAGTAGAATTGTATAAGTGTAAAGTTTTTGCAAAATATGTAAATTTTATCTTCAAGAAATTTAAACATTTACTACATCAATTGATACTATATATATATATATATATATATATATATATATATATATATATATATATATATATATATATATATATATATATATATATATATATATATATATATATATATATATATATATATATATATATATATATATATATATATATATATATATATATATGTATATATATATATATATATATATATATATATATGTATATATATATATATGTATATATATATATATATATATATTTATATATATTTATATATATATATATATATATATATATATATATATATAGGATTTGGACTGAGATAGCAAAAGGTTTTGTCATCATTTTTTTTTTCTTCTTTTTCTAAAAAAGCTGTAGGGTTATTCAAACAATTAAACTTCTCAGAGTTTTTTCAACTAAAAAAAATCAGCAAAATGAATTTAATTAATTTATTTTTATTTTTAAAGGAACAATCTATTAGCTATACAATTAATAAGATAAAATTAAAAATAATAATTCAAAAAAATTAAATAGTTATATAATCATAAAATGAGTTGCATAAAAGTTTAATCGAGTTAAGGTTTAGAACACAAAAAAATAAAAAAATTTAATATTTAAAGTATCCTTCTTTGGCTCGATAGCAAAGAAGAACTTGTCTCTGCATTGATTCGACCAATTTCATGCATATCTCATGTGGCACTTTTAACCAGTACTCATTCAGAAGTTGCTTTAAATATCAGTTGATTGAATTTGATGGTTTACCAATTGAGTATTGATCCATGACCAAATATTTTCTATTGGGTTGATATCTGGTGATCTAGGGCACCAAGGCAACAAATTGATGTTCTAGAGCCTTGTCTTGCTTGCATGTAATCTGGAATTCCATAACGAGGCATGTCAACAATGTTACCTGTTAACTCCCAGGTTTTCACTGTTTTTTGCACGCAAAATTCAAAAACACCCATAAGTTTACTAATTTCAGCATTGTTATGATTCTTTGATTTGGCCAGTTCGATAATTTGCCATTTGATGCTCTCTGACACTGATTTTCTACCCATTTGCAAGCGAATTGAAATTGAAAATATTGCAATTATTCTTTAGATAATTTTTTACAATTAAAATATTTCTTTTTTTAATTTTAAAATGATTTTTTTATTTAAGAATCATGAGTAATATATTTATATTTTATAGCGGTAATTAAATATAATAATTTGTTATCGAGTGTGAAAAATGTATAATTTATTAACTCGATTAAACTTTTGTCATCAGTAAAATACATCATATAGCGTTTAATTAGTTTTATGTCATATAATGCTCTATTAGTTTTACGGAAGTAATGTATAATACTGAAGTAATATGTGTGAAACTGGATAGGTTTGGTATAATGTTGTATAATTAATTAGTTTTAATTAATTAGTAATAAGTTAGTTTTAATTAATTAGTAATGTATTATGTGTGAATCTGGATAGTGGTGGCTGGATAGCCGGGTTTTAACTTTTCGTTTGATATCATCAAACGAAAAGTTAAAACCCGGACTGTTGTACAATACGGGTTCAAATTCTGCCACCGCCAACTCAGGGCTTGAGTAGTACTTCTGTATGCAAAATGTTGGTCAATAACGGGTGCTACTTTGGATTAGTTTAAGTGACTATTTGTGGCTGTTCCTATGCTAAGTCAACAATATCTTCGGATAAAACATTGTATACAAAAATAAAACATGAAAAATCCAATAAAATAAAATTTAAAAAAAAAATCTTTTTTTTTTGTCTATTTTATTGGTAGAAACATAAATAGCAAAACACAAAAAAAAAAAACTTAAAATCTATATCCGTTAAACTTTAATGTTAGAAAAACTGGCTCATAGTTATGAAAAACTTGATTAAACTTTTATGCATAGTTGTATTTTATATATATATATAGTTATATATATATATATATATATATATATATATATATATATATATATATATATATATATATATATATATATATATATATATATATACCACCCTCGGAATTAGGGTCAGCATTTGGCAATGTCGACCTAACTGCCAACTTAAACGTGTTTACGGTCTGCAAAAAAAATATTTGTATATTTATATATATATATATAAATATACATATATATATATATATATAAATATACATATATATATATATATATATATATATATATATATATATATATATATATATATATATATATATATATACATATATATATATATATATATATATATATATATATATATATATATATATATATATATATATGTATATATATATATATATATATATATATATATATATATATATATATATATATATATATATATATATATATATATATATATATAATCTTTAAAAGTCATTTTCTTGTTATATGATAATAATAAAATATGTAAAATTCAATAAAAACGGCTGCGTATAAACTTTTTTTTAAAAATATATATCTGTTTTTATTTTAATATATTTTTTCGATATTTCGCTGATCTATTGTGATCAGCGTCATCAGGTGTAATAAATAAAAATCGTTACAAAGAAAATTGTTGTAATAAAAACTAACCGTTAAAAAGATTACACCTAGCGTCATCAGGTGTATAGTTTTTATTACAACAATTTTCTTTGTAACGATTTTTATTTATTACACCTGATGACGCTGATCACAATAGATCAGCGAAATATCAAAAAATATATTAAAATAAAAGCAAATATATATTTTAAAAAAAAAGTTTATATGCAGCCGTTTTTATTGAATTTTACATATTATATATATATATATATATATATATATATATATATATATATATATATATATATATATATATATATATATATATATATATATATATATATATATATATATATATATATATATATATATATATATATATATATATATATATATATATATATATATATATATATATATATATATATATATATATATATACATACATATATATTGTATAAATATACATATAAAGCATTTCTTGGTTTAGCATTGTCACACCTTCCCTGATTTTTTTTTTCTGTAATCGATATCTTGTGTTAGTAAAAATGCTATTTATAAAAATTTTAATAATATTTTTAATATCATATCATTGATTATTTTTAATTTTGCATAAATTTATTTTATTTATCTAGTATTCATGTTCATTGAATTTTTTTTGCAGAAAATTTGGTGTTTACTGAATGGTCTTTTTGGAGCTCTTGCTCAACAACTTGTGAAGGCTTGTCACAAAGGCAAAGATTTTGTATTGACAAGTATTGCATTGGAGAAAAAGTTCAAAATAAAGACTGTGGGGTTGAGAGATGTCCTAGTAAGTAATAATGAACTAAAAGTAAAACTTTTATTGTAATTAAATATCACATTATTATTGAAATGATTCGTCTTGCTTTGATTGCAAAAATTTGTGCAGAAAAAATTAAAAAAAAAAATTATCTTTGTACACAAACCAACTTTCTATACAACCTTAGTTGAGTGTTTTGGGTGTTTTTACATCTACAACAAGACTTTTCAAATCAAACTTGGTTGTTTTCACTTCCATAACCACCTAAGTTAACTTCACTTCCATAAAAACAGTTAAGTTTAACAGAATGTAAACAAAACAACAGTTAAGTTAGAATGTAAATTTTACAGAATGTAAATTTTAGAATGTAAATTTTACACAATGTAAAATGAGTAAAGTATTTTGATTGCTAATTTGTCTTTATTTAACTCTTAACTTATTTTTAGTCATTTTTAATTATTTATTAATTTTATTGATTTTAGTTCATGGTCGTTTTTCAAAATGGAGTGAATGGACTTTGTGCAGTGTATCATGCAATGGTGGAGAAAAAATGCGAACTCGAAAATGTAACAACCCTTCACCTCAATACAGTGGCTTTCTCTGCCTTGGTGAGGTGCTTGAAAAGAAAATATGTAACTCACATTTTTGTCCTAGTAAGTTCAAACATTCTGAAGTTTAGATTTTATAAATGTTATCTCAACTAAAACTTCTTTTTATAAAAATCAAAAAAACAACTTTGGGTTCCTGATTTCCAGAATAGCATTGTTTTTTTCTAACATTAACAGTTTCATCAGAAAACAACATAGTATTTGTTAAAATGTGATGTATTTTTGAATTATGCAGAAAGTATTAAAGCAAAAGCAGTTAATCTTATTTATGAAATTAATTTAAATATTGGAGAGTAAAAAAATGCTAAAAATAATGTATCTAAATTGCAACATCTCACTTATATTGATATTTTTTCTCAATTTCAGAAATGTTCAAATAAAAATGTTCTTCATTTATTTTTTTATTAAAAAATCTAGTTGAAAATCCAAGTAATGTAACTTTATAGACATTGACATTTGACATCATGTTTTATACAAGCTCTTGTGTGGTTACCTAGAAAACTTCTTGAAAACCTTTAAATAAAATTTTATTAAAACTACCTAGTGGTTACCTATAAAAACCATGAACAATATCTATAAAATATGCAGGCTCATCAACATCAGACATTTTTTTCTTGCGACTCTTACATGCTATGCTATACAAATATGCTAACTCACAGTTAAGCAATAAAAAGTTTCCAAAACAACTGAGATGTTTGAATTCATTGATCTAAGACCTTACCAAATTTTTTAACCAGACCAAGTTAAATCATAAAATGTTGTAATAAAATCTTAACAGATATCAGAAGTTGATTAATCACATCAAAGGACCCAGGCTTTAAATTGTGTCTAATCGGCCATTCTTTCCTCATAGCAAGTGCTGTTCAATAGCTTTTTTGTAGTTTTACTATAAAAAATAAAATATTAATAACTTGTAAAACCAGATTGTAAACTCAAAAAAAATTTAAACAACTCAAATTGTGTAAAACTGTTATTATAGAAAATGGGATGCTTGGATATAAATTTGAGATGTTCTTAGATTTTTTGTTTTTTAAAATACTTACCATGCAATACTTACCATGCAATACTAATAACTATCATGATGGTTAGTTGGTTCTCCCCAAAATATTCAGTTTGCAAAGATACCAAGTTTCCAATTCTGCACAGCCATCTAGAGTTGATCTACAGCTGTCACAGCAGTATTGTGGTTCCTGCTAATCCTGGTCACTTACTCTTATTCTAAAATATGCATGATATACTAAATAATATTGTGAGATATATGAGGACATGCCCTAGGTGAGTTGACATATGAATTAACATAGAATTGAACTCTGGTAAATCAACATAAAATCAACTTATTAAAACAATATTATTACACAGAATTTAAGCAATTATAGAATTTTTCCACTAAAATACCATTTAGTAAAATACCATTTTCCACTTAAATACCATTTAGTATTATAGCAGAGTGATTTTATATTAAATCATTCTGCTATAATGCCTCTAATACCTACATACCATAAAAAATATAAGTGTTTTGAAATTTTCATAATTAAAGCATTTTTATGTAATAAAATTTTAGTTGATGGTGTTGTCTCTGAATGGTCTTCCTGGTCAGGGTGCAATAAACCATGCAATAACGGTACAATGATGCGTAAAAGATTATGCAAGCAACCTTTATATGGAGGAAAATCTTGCTCAAAAAATTTGCTTGAGATTGTTTCATGTAATCCACATATATGCCCAGGTAATTAATTTTAAAATAATTTAAACTTTTAACTACTAAAGTACTATTTATTATTGCCATTTTTTATTAATGAGGAAAATCAAATCTAGATGTATTTTTAATTATTAATTATTTGGTTTTATTAGCTGTGTTTTGTTTATATAATATTATTAGGTTAGTTAAAAAATTTCAAAAAACTTTATTCCCTTGTTAAGTTGCTTAAAAAACTAATTTAACTTAATAAAAACTAACATTTAAATAACTTCTATGAGCTTTGTATATTTACAAAGGAAATGAGAAAATATAAAGATCTAATAAAACAAGAATTTACTCTAAATATTACACAAAATGTACACACTGTACATAAGAATGTGCACACTGTACACAAGAATGTGCTCTAATCTTTAAAAATTTGCGTCTACCAGAAAAATATATAATTCAAGAAGAAAATAACTGGATCAATCTTTTATCATCTGATATTAATAAAGTATTGAGTGCAGGTTTGTAATGGTGATATATTATCAAGTTTGACCAGTCAATTTAACAAGCCGATCCCAAGACTAGATTGTTAAGTGTTGTGTTTTTTTTGTTGCTATTTTTTTTTTAATATTTCTAAATTTCACTTTAAAAAAGTGGTCAAATTAATTTTTTTGCTATATTGATATATCAAAAGCTTTCAATAAAATATGTCATGCTGTTTTGTCTTCATGTCTTCACTATGAGCTCACTTAGTGTAAAAACCAAAGTTATTAAAATTATTGAGTCATTCTTTTTAAATGCTGTATTAAAGTTATCCTTAATAAACTAAACTCTCCTTTATTTCCAATAACTTATGGGGCCCCATCAGTTTTCATTCTTGGTCCTATGTTGTTCTTCATCTGTATTATTGATTTTCCTGATAATCTTACATCTCTTACATCTTACATCTTACATCTTACATCTCATCTACATCTTATATCTAAAATACCTCTATCAATCACACAACTATTTCAAAACTCAAGCACTGTTTACTTGTAATAATTATATAAATATTGTTGATGCATTTTTATTGATGAATCACAACGCTCTTACTAATCTCCTCTAATTTATGTCTTTTTGCATTACTGTTTACTAATGCCTTCTTATGAAAACCATATATACTGTTTACTAATGCCTTCTTATGAAAACCATATATACTGTTTACTAATGCCTTCTTATGAAAACCATTTATACTGTTTACTAATGCCTTCTTATGAAAACCATATATACTGTTTACTAATGCCTTCTTATGAAAACCATTTATACTGTTTACTAATGCCTTCTTATGAAAACCATATATACTGTTTACTAATGCCTTCTTATGAAAACCATTTATACTGTTTACTAATGCCTTCTTATGAAAACCATATATACTGTTTACTAATGCCTTCTTATGAAAACCATATATACTGTTTACTAATGCCTTCTTATGAAAACCATATATACTGTTTACTAATGCCTTCTTATGAAAACCATTTATACTGTTTACTAATGCCTTCTTATGAAAACCATATATACTGTTTACTAATGCCTTCTTATGAAAACCATATATACTGTTTACTAATGCCTTCTTATGAAAACCATATATACTGTTTACTAATGCCTTCTTATGAAAACCATTTATACTGTTTACTAATGCCTTCTTATGAAAACCATATATACTGTTTACTAATGCCTTCTTATGAAAACCATTTATACTGTTTACTAATGCCTTCTTATGAAAACCATATATACTGTTTACTAATGCCTTCTTATGAAAACCATTTATACTGTTTACTAATGCCTTCTTATGAAAACCATATATACTGTTTACTAATGCCTTCTTATGAAAACCATATATACTGTTTACTAATGCCTTCTTATGAAAACCATATATACTGTTTACTAATGCCTTCTTATGAAAACCATTTATACTGTTTACTAATGCCTTCTTATGAAAACCATATATACTGTTTACTAATGCCTTCTTATGAAAACCATTTATACTGTTTACTAATGCCTTCTTATGAAAACCATATATACTGTTTACTAATGCCTTCTTATGAAAACCATTTATACTGTTTACTAATGCCTTCTTATGAAAACCATATATACTGTTTACTAATGCCTTCTTATGAAAACCATTTATACTGTTTACTAATGCCTTCTTATGAAAACCATATATACTGTTTACTAATGCCTTC